AAAAAAAAAACAAGAAAGGAACAGTAAATTATGTATCTACTAAGTGCCAATTTATACACATTGCCTCATTTAGTTATTTATTCATTATTTATTTATTTAGAGACAGAGTCTAGTTCTGTCACCCAGGCTGGAGTACAGTGGCATGATCTTGGTTCACTGTAACTTCTGCCTCCTGGGTTCAAGCAATTCTCCTGCCTTAGCGTCTCAAGTAGCTGGCATGACAGGCATTCACCACCAAGCCCAACTAATTTTTGTATTATTAGTAGAGATGGGGTTTCACCATGTTTTCCAGGCTGGTCTTGAACTCCTGGCCTCAAGTGATTCCCCTGCCTCGGGCTCCCAAAGTGCTAGAATTATAGGCATGAGCCAATGCCCCCAGCTTGTTCATCAAATATTTATTAAGGACGTACTTGCAAATACTGTGTAAGGTACTAGAGATAGTGATGAACAAGCATGCAGTTGGTCTCTACCCAAACTGGAAGGTAGACATTTAAAAATCATATAAACCTGTCCATATTCATCAGAAATATTTATTGAACTCTATTCCTTCCAGATACTGGGGTGGGGGGGGGTTTGACTTCTTTCTTGTTTGATAGAGTCTTGCTCTGTCACCCAGGCTGGAGTGTAATGAGGCAATCTTGACTCACTGTAACCTCTGCCTCCTGGTTCAAGCAATTCTCTTGCCTCAGCTTCCCAAGTAGCTGGGACTACAGGTGTGCGCCACCATGCCCAGCTAATTTTTGTATTTTTCAGTAAAGATGGGTTTTCACTGTATGTTGGCCAGGCTGATCTTGAACTCCTGACCTCAAGTGATCTGCCCTTACCTTCCTACCAAAGTGCTAGGATTACAGCCGTGAGCCACTGCGCCTGGCCAAAAGAAATATTTATTGATTACCTGCTAGACACCATCATTAGGAGCTGAGAATTCTGTGGTAAAGAATAAAAAGCAGACAAGAATCTATGCCCTTGCAGAGGTTACAGTCTGCTAAGACAGACAAACAGTAAGCTAATTAAGTAAAATAGTATGTTAGAGAGTAGTATAAAAGAAAAAAAAAAAAAA